GAAAGATCTGTGTCTAGATGCAATGGGTTGATTGAGAAAGGAGCTCTAACTTGAGTTCATTGGCCATCCTTCCAAGAATAAGGCTATGACCTCTTTGTTACTTAAGAATTACTATGTTGTCCTTTTCTAATCACTTGAATATCTGATACCATCATGGATCACTCAGCTGGTGCTGAAGAATGTTTCTTGTTCATAATTTCTGGAGACAACGCATACCAACTCTGAAAATTCTTTGGGAATAAGTTAATGTAGTCCTACAAATGATTCTTCTGCTACTGACATAGCTTTCTCCTTTTATTTTTTAAGCATCTTTGTTAAATTATCTTTGTCCTTAAAAAAATCCAAAATACTAAAAACCAAAAAGGAGGTATAAAAATCATAAAACATGTTATTTATTAAGTAGCAGAGGTCATAACAGAGATTGATTTGATCTAATTTAGTCTTAAGGAGGATCAATTTGAAAAGCATCAGTGACTGCATTTGAAATAAGATGCGTCTAGAAACAGTAAGCCTGAATTAAATAAAAATATGTAAATGACACCCCATTGATATAAAAGAAAGGCCAGTGAGGAGTGTTTTGCGGTGAATGACCAGCATATTAAAGGGCTAATTTTCAGATAATCATTCCATACTTTTCAAGGTCAGGCTTCCAAAATCAGTTGTCACCTGATTTATCTGGATCAAGATTTTTGCCAGTAAAGCAGAATAGTGCTGTAGGGAGCTAATAATTGATTTTACATATTTACTCTCAAAATCCCTTCTGCTGGTTATCTGGAAGTGCCATTGAGAATTAGGATGCTAAGCAAAATATTTTTTTAGTAATGTTCTGTTTTATGGTCAGATATCCCCAGATTTCAGTTTCTTAGTCAATACAAAAGAGTTCTCCCAGAAGCAAGCAGAAGAATACTTTGGTCTCATTGGGTCTTGAGGTCTTATTTGACAATCCAGTGCAGCTGAATGTTTCATTTTAGTGCTTGGAAATCATGAACTACTTAGTACAGTGGTCACTTAAGTCCTTTTCTTGAAGCTTGTTCTCTGCCCTGCCTAGCATCTCTTCCACAGTAAACCTTACAACCCCTAATCATATCTGCTCTTTTCTTGCTATTTCCTGGATGGGCAATACTTCTTCCACCTGTTTATCATAAAAAAAGATGTGGATGTCTATCGTGCTTATCCAACTTGAGGGGAGAGGGTTGTAAATATCCCTTATCCCAGC